TGACAAGCTAATGTTTGTGTTTCTACGGCTCCTTAGAAGTTAGAATGCACTTTTACAAAGTATATCAATTAACCAACGACAAATTGAAGACATTGAAATGCACTAACTATGGAACGGAAGTCTTGCTAACCTCTGAGATCCCATGGGTATATTTGATATTGAAAGCTTGTCTAGATCACTATACGTCAAATTGGATTCCTCCAACGTGCGATTTGTCCAATTAACTGGAACCATGACTGTCAAAGCGACAATAGCAACAGGAACAAATATCTTAAGCCTGCAACCAAATAAAGAATATGACCATTCGTGAACGCTTATTTAACCACGAAGTCCCTAGCTCCTAAAGAAGGAGAAGATGCAAATATTCACCCTGTTAAGTAAATCCTCAAATAAACAGCAGAATCTAATCCGGCATGGTCAATGAGCTCAGCCTGTGGCATTTGCAGTGCAGCGGGCATCCAGTTAAGAAACCTCAAGTAGGAATGGAAATCCAAGTTGACAAACCTGCGTATAAGCGCCCCGGAGTGCAAGGGGTTGTTCCTTAGCCCCTTTAGATACCACTTTGGGAAGTATACCCTATCATTGACGGGTTGTATTCTGAGGATGGCAAATGCCACCAAGAAGGCAAATGCACTCAGGATGTTGATTGCTGCCCCGACGCCTATGTCACTTAGTGTTGCCATTCCTATGCCTCAAAATGAATATATTTTCCTGTAATGCAAAAAAAAACACTTTTCAACAACAACAACGACAACAACAAACACAGTCTATTATGAAATAGAGAGGTTGTTTCCAAGAGATCCATATTTATATACATTAATACAAACAAAGAAACCACTGAAGCACGAATAAAGTACGAATGTAGAAAAAGAAGAGTATAAGCCGACTAGAAGAACTAGATATAAAGCACAAAGCACACAAGCACTCACTATAAACTAAGTCATAAAACACACCAACACTAACTACTCCCTCGGTCCCTCAGTATTTTTCACTTTTGAATTTTTCCGGCCAAAATTGACAAACTTTGACCATAATTTAAATAAAATTGATATTAGATATTGATATAAAAATAATTTTATTGAGTTCGTTTTATAAAACATTATCAAAATATTATTTTATCTAATTAATATGAGTATACAATATATTTTATTTAATTATTAGATCAAATGTTGAAAATTGTTGATTACAAAAAGTCCAAAATAGACGAATATTCACGGGCAGATGTAGTAAAAACTAAGGCTCATTGGTCTACTCATCTCAATATAGCTCAAGCCATGACTTCAACAAAACAACTAAATTGCCAAATAACATTAAAAAAAAGCCATTACATGGAAACAAATCTACGACATAGCAACCTGAAATAGGGCATTATTGGATTTTTGCTTTGAGATGACTTTGGACTGTTTTGACCAATTTTGACTGGTTTGACTTGTGACAAAAAAGAATGTTTTGCAGTCGGCTGTGTGATTCTAAAAAACCAAATATGAAAATCTATGGGCATTATCAAGCAATATAATCAGGATTAATCACTGCTAAACAACATGCACACATTAATCAGAGAATTGTTGAAGCGTATTTTCCAGTACCTGCTAAGAGTGTGATGAACAGAACGACAGCGTTTTATGGAGCTTCTTCTTGGCAGCAATGGAGAGAAAGAACAGAAAATGAACATGGATTGGAACATAGAAAACAAAAAAAACGTCAGCTGAAACTGGAAATGGAAGACTAATTTGGCAATATTATACCCAGTAATTATTGCAGTGTATTAATTTATTACGAGTAATTAAGGCAAATTACGGTGGACTGAACCATGTTGATAAGCATTTGTTTAATGTTGAATACTTTTATTAATTAAATTAATATAGAATGTAAAATTGTTTAATTACTCAATAAAATTTGTCCAATGTAAATACAAAAAGTTAAACTAGATAAACAAATTGCGACAAAGAAGAGTATTACTCTGTACTTCCTCCAATTTACAATAGCTGTTTATTTAAAATTCTTAAATATTGTATATTTAGAATGAATATAGACACACTTAAGTCTACATTCGTTACGTAAAAAATATAATGTACTGCGTATCTAATAATACTTAATAGAACTCATTGTTTAATTTTGTATTTTTGTTGTGAAAATTGTTAGTGTGTCTTAATTGTCTGTTGTTTACGAGGTTTTCACTGAAGTTATTTTCAATTCAATTTATTTAAAAATTAGTATGAAATTAAAAAATAAAACTTGTACATTTAAAAATTACAGTATATCAAAACCTTTATAAAAGAAGATGTTACAAGACTATACTATTTTCTCAAATGTGTAAAGATTATGGTTAAAGTGTGACTCTATGAATAATAAACATGCAACTTAAATTGGAAGAGATGGAATAATATATAGTAGAAATCACCCCAAATAAGAATAAAAGTAAAAAAACATAGAAAAAGTACTAAAATATGACTTCTATGTTTTTATTTTCGAAATAGGAATTCGCACTGTGGTAATGTGAAGGTAATGTGGCTCTGTACACGTGCACATTAGTATACTTTTTGGTAATGTAAATGACCATATTTGGTAATGTAAATACATTTTAACTTCTATTTCGATAATAAAAACATGAAAATCAGATTTTAATATATTTTCAATGTTTTACTCCTACTTTAGTCTTTTTCCTTAATAAGAAATGGAGAGATATTTATTTTTTGAGAGAGGAATTGATGTCGGGCAAAGAATGCATGTTAAATTCAGTTTATGTAACGGCTATTGATGACGGGAACGCAGATAATCTCCTGCGTGCGGCCACCGTTGAACCGATGAGTGAAGACTACAATACGAGCAAATTCCTGAAAGCATGCAATTGATGTCCTTGAAATGGAATCATAATTACGGGGATTTAATGTGATTAATAAAAGCATTCAAAGAACATGGGCTTAAAATTGTGATAATCACAAGTATCAAACTCACTCTCTTTTTCCCCCCCCAAAAAAAAAAGAGTAAATTTCTAGAACAAAAATGCTAGGGTTACACTAAAAGTGAGACTTCGTTACTCTTCGTACACAACTGGCAATGCCATTCTGGCCAAGTGAGACTTCGTTTATACTCCATAGTTATATTTGTTGAATTTTGTGGACTCCTCTCCTACTATATATTAGGGTCTCTTTACCCCATCTAGGGCTGACGTTATTTTTTGACAAACCCAATGGTTGTTGATAATACGTAGTTAGTGTTTTAGCATTTAGCTAGTCATCCTCATCACACCTTTCTACTGAAGAATTTTCGTCAGCAAAGGAGTCTGGTGGTAACGAAGAAGGGAGTACCTATGCATATGCGTACTAGAGATCTTGTGTGATACACCTGTTCCGGTAAAGACAGTTACATGGAAACTCGAAGTGCTGAGGACACTGGAACATCGGTTTGGTTTTCCTAGAGTTCTATTTCATCTCCACTAGGGTTGAGCACTATATATTAACTTGGCATCTTGGTGGGCACGAATACGTGAGATACACAAATAATATAGAGTTCATCAGACTTTGGAGATCACGCAACTCTTAGAATTATAGCGCGAGGATTCAGATCAACTGTGGTCATACAGTTGAGAAAGATTGACTCAGAATCCACACAAACGTTACAAAGGTGCATTGGATACGTCAATCAAATTCAGTCCAGGGGTTGGTATGAGTTGACTTGGAAAAAGGCTAAAGTCACATCCCCAGAAGGTAGCTTTGTGAAAGTGTAGCATGCGAAGGAGATAGGCTCAATCACAGTTTGAAGTCTAAGGTCTTTCGTAAGTTTTCGTGACAATACATTAGAGAACTAGTGTGTTGATTGTCTTGTGTAAACTTAACAAAGATCTAGTGGAGAGCCGTTACACGGACGTGAGCCTCGCAGACGTAGGAGAATTCGCTCCGAACTGCGTAAACAAACCTTGTGAGCAATGTTTGAAGAGGCGGAACGCAAACCCGCCTCAAGGTGCGCAATAGAACTTTTTTCGGAAAATAACGCCCTGGTGCAAATCCCGAATCACGGAATTAGCCATTTTACGCAATTGGCTTAAAGGCTTACGCCATGCGGCGTGCGCACTGGTGCGCGCAACGTGGCGTACGCAATTTAGTGTGTAAAATTTAAGATATCAAAGGTAAAAGTTGTCAATTACCTGAATTAAGTGTATATATTTTAAAATTACCTTGTCGACGACCTTAATTGCAACCCTAGCTAATTGCTGCGATTTCCAAGCTACAATTCATCTTCTTCATAGCGTCGAGTCGCTGTCGACCGTCTCCATCGTGATAGCAGGTGCAATTCATCTTCAATGCTTCTCTATTTTCCGTGTCTAGACTCTAGCAGATACAATTTTTTTTCTTTTCGGCAAATGGTATAAGAACGGATGGATGATGGGTTTTCTCTTTTCGACAAATGGTACAAGAACGGATGGATGATGGGTTACAACTGTAGGATTTATAATCTACTATTAACTTATTATCTTGATAAATTTATTTAATTAGTTTTTTGTAATCGTTTTATTAAGTATAGTAGCATTCAATTTTCCTTTTTTATGGTTGGAGTTTATAATTGGTGTTTTTTTCAAGTAGTTGAATACTGATGATTTTTTAGCTGTTAATCTCCTTTTTTCTTCTTTTTTGATAATTGGTGTGCTAATTGACTCGGACACTTTGAGCCATATTATGTCTTACTCCATGTGAGACTTTGTTGTGTTTGTGATGTATTACTTTGACAATATACTTTTTAATGTTTTTGAATTATTTATGTTATACATTATGTTCTATCTTTAGTTTTAAATTGTTTTGTGGATATTTTTCAATTTAAAAATTGAGACTTACGCCTCAAGTCTTACGCAATACGCCATGAAAAGAAAATGCCTCGAAATCGCAATATGCAACTTCGAACATTGCTTGTGAGTGGTGTGCTGTTCTTTCCTGTTTGTTTGTGCGTGTGCTACTCTGTGTTCCAACATACGTTGTGTCATTTGGCTTGAATACTGCGTTAGTTCGCTGTGTGGGTTAACTATATTACAGGTGGTTAATCTCATAAGAGATTTCAAAAGGTAATGGAGGGAGGACTCATCAGGAGCACGAGTTTGTGTGGCTGTAGGAGAGCCGATAGCCCCTTGCGATTTATGTGGCAGAGCAGTTATGTATTACACTCATCAAACTATTACAGATTATTTCGGAGTACTATGTACAAATGTACAATCAAGAATGGGGTGATAAAAAATGCAAAGTGTGAACTTTCTGAACTGATGAAATGCTGATCTTACTACCTTCCGGACATGAGATTTATTAAGCCTTGATTGCCATAAAAGGTTCCAACATCCCAGTCGTCCGTGGAGGACGAAAGTGTCATCAGAGCAACAACAACTGATCTCATACTAGGTCGCATTTCAGGGTCTTCGTGGGTGCAAGCTTTGGCAAGCTGTGCCAACTGTCATTGCCAAGAGAGACAGAGACAGACTCGTATCAGTTCAGCGGGTTTAAGTTTTTAGTTTACTTGAACAGAATGCATCATCATGAATACCAGATTCGAAGTTAAAGATGGATGTACCTTGCGGGCTGAGTCCAATGGGTAGGCGTCTCCAAGTCTAGGGTCAATCAGGGTGCCAAGGCCTTCATTGGGTTCTGCTCGATTTAGAACTTCTTCAAACTGTGTGACCCATGGGAAGAAAACAACCACACCATTGTTAGTCTAGGAACATCAACGGGAAAGTGTTGATGGGCCGAACCCAAGCTACTGGACTGGGCTTGGGCATGAGCTATGGGCCAGCGAGTTGGTCCTGGAAATGAAAGTTGTGTGGGTGGTGATGGGTAGGCGTTTCCTATTTTAGTCCTCTGTCATTAAATACCAAGTAAGGTCCTTAAAAATTTGGAACATTGCTAATCTTAGTCGTTCGATATTGTATCATTTTGAAGACCTTTGATGGAAAAAGGACTCAAATTGACAATGCTCACAATTGATGTGATCAACCAATGGAATTTCATGAAGTAATGTATTAAATGTGGAATATCCCCAAATATAGAGGACAATTCTTGGAATTTACTCTTTTTAAAATGTAGGATGATACAAAAGTATGGAACAAAACTCACCAAGGAAACTAAGCCCTTTGAGTCGGCAACAGAACCATTTGCCCTCACTATAGCTTCCTTGGCAGAAATTAACTCATAAAGCACCACTCCAAAAGCATAGACATCAACTTTAGGCGAAACGTTTCCATACTGAGCTCTGCAAAATGATTTGTAAAATGGCATAATTCAACTCACAATCTTCTTTCATTAAAATATATAAATAAATAAAATCTTCCACATCACTATATATTCAAAACTTACTCTGGGGGTATGTATCCGAAAGTGCCAACAAGGCGTGTTGACAAAGATGAACCTCCAACTTCAGCCAGTTTCGTCAAACCAAAATCAGCAACCTGAATGCATTATCATGACATACAAACCATATTCTAAGTCATTTTTTTCCCATATTCCAAAACGTGGAATTCGAAGAAGCATTGATAATACCTTTGCATGGAAGTTTTTGTCTATTAAGATATTTGCTGATTTGATGTCGCGATGGATGTACACGGGAACCGTGTGCTCATGTATATATTCAAGACCCCTAGCCGAGTCCAGTGCTATTTGCACCCTACTTGACCAGGTTAGTGGGTCCCTACCTGCAACCAAAATGCATCAAGTGATTAAAAAACAGTAGAGTTCCGAGAATACAATATGTCCCGTTTAACTTTTTTTTGTCTGTCCTACTCCCTATGTCCCAGTTTTGAATTCAATTTATTTAAAGATTGGTTAGAAATTAATAAATAAAAATTACATATTTAAAAGCTACATCAAAAGTTCTACGGGTATTAAAAAAGATGTGACAACACTATTATTTTCTGAAATGGGTAGCGAAAATGAGTAAAGAATGTGGTTAAAGTTTAACCCGAGGAATAGTAAACACGAAACTTAAATTGAGACGGAGGGAATCCTATTTTTGTTCCATACAATATCATCAACCACATAATTCCACTTTTTTTTAACATGTGTGTCACACTGCCTCATGACTCAAAAATAGTGGGATGGAGGGGGTATAAAACAAATTCTCACAACGTATTACCTGTACCGCGCAGATGTTCGCTTAAGTTCCCATTATCTATATATTCATACACAAGGAAGAGAGAACCTTCAACACAGTACCCTACCAAGCGCACCTAAATTTAATACAAACAAAATATGAAGGAAAAATACTCTGTAATGAACAGCAGCCCCAAGGGACTTAACAGAACAAAGAGATATACACCAAAATATAAATTAATAATTAACACATTTGTATAAAAATAACACAACAAACAGTACCAGATTGAGGTGATGAACATTTGTCAAGACCTTCAGTTCAGCGAGAAACTCCTTTGATGCTTGCATATCCATTTTCTTAATAGCTGTTTTCTGCAAGTGATTAGCAGAAGTTTAAGTGATTGGCTTCAATATGCTGAAGAACTAGAAAAAGGAAATTTCTGTTTTGCTAATGAAGTAAAAAGTCGACTAGGCATTAAGAAAATCCATATAAGAACAAGGGCAAACCTCTCCTCTAAGCTCGGCATAGTAAACAGCACCAAAGCCACCTTCACCAATCTTATTTGCAAGGCTGAAGTCATTAGTTGCTTTTGCAAGCTCTTCATATGAGAACTCGACAGATTTTTCCACAGTTATGCCTGAAAAGACCGGAGAAGCTCCAGGGTCTGTATCCTTAAGTGCACTGGCTTCTAACCCTAATAACCCCATAGACAACATAATACTGATCAGTTGACCGAAAACATCTGCATCAGATTCACTCAACATGGATGACAAGAAAAGATCAATGCTCGAATTCTTTGAAGCTCTTCAATTTCGAATTTATTCAGAGGCAAACCAAACAGGCATCTGCTTACTTACAAAATTGCTAAAGATAATAAGGGATTAACAACTCTTGTTACCGGTTATATGGGATCGACTTTCGGATAGTGAAAGCAATGAAATCTTCTCTCCCTTCTTTCTGTAAAATACTACATAAATGCAACCTGCCAATAGAAATACTCCTCCTACTGCTGCAACAGATATCACAGCTTTAACTGCAGCAGATTGCCCTGGTGATATAGAGAAACAATATAAGTTTGAATCAAATCACAATCAAGACGACAACTTTGTGGCTGGACAAGGAGAGGCCACCTGTGCTGCAGAACAAAAGTAGAATGAACAAAACAATTAGCCCATTGTGAAAACCCAAACAAAAATGAGCAAGATTCTTTTATGTGATAACAGCATTCTTAAAACCTACCTTTTTGGAAATGGTGGAAAGTCCCCATTTTTATCTGCAAGAAAATCAATGAACCACAAGGTTAGCGAGGTGATCCGAGGAGGGTCCGGCTCCATTTCTTTACTCCAAAGAAAGATCAGCAATCTTTAAAATCAATGCTTCATTGAAGACAATAAAATTCCCTCTTTCCAAACAGAAATAAGGAATCTAACAAGGACATGAATGATGCACCTGCAAAAAAACACAAATACCTCTTCCAGGAACATATACCAGACCACTCCCATTGAAATTCACTCCCGGATTATACCTACTGACCAAATCTTGACTGACATTAGCCACGTTTGCCACGGACGCCAAACTCTCTCCCGGCCTCATGGGATAAGTGATGAACAAAGAATAATCCTGGGAGACATCCTTGTTCCCACAGGAGCAATTCACCGTCACGTTCAACCTCGCCCCGGTGTCCGGAATGTTGTTCTCCGGGTAACTGTTAAACCTCTTCAACCAGTCAACAGTCGTCAAATTGGAGTACTCCGTCTTCGCCACTATGTCGTACGTGTCCCCGGATTTCACGGGGTAGGAAAAGACATGACCCAGAAACTCGCCGTTTTCCAGGCAGTCGCATCGGAAGGGAACGTTGATCCGGGTATCGGCGATAACGCTATCTTGGTTCGGAACACTTTCGCGGGGGCTGTATGAAATGATTTCCGAGCGAGAGGTTTCGAAGAGGGATGAAATCTTGGTGAGATCTGTGCCGCGCCAAACGTAGTATGAGGCCAGAGCTAGGTCGCAGCCGTCGCTGCAGCGGCAATCTGCCGATGGGGTGAGGGAAGATAAGCTAAGAATGAAAGAAAAGATTGTCCGGAGAAAAGGTGAGCTTGCACCCGGTGTGGATTGATGAAAGACCGACATACTGCCGAGCAGAACATGAGACGAGAACAGGGGATTCTTGGCGGCGCCGGGGTGATGGACGAAGAAGAGAGATGAAGGGGAACGTAATTGGAATCTGGAAAGAAATCGTTGACCAGGTTTTGAAAACAAACCCAAGTCAATTTTGTACCCAAAGAAAGATCAAAATATTGCCCCAAACAAAAATGCTACACTAGAAAGTATTCCTCAACTTAGATACTAATTTCCCTCTCTCACACATTTTTAGAATCGATAAGAAATGTGTGATCGAGGAAGTGGTTACAAACTAGGGTACAACTTGATATTGATTTTTCTAGTATTACCTTAGTCCTGTATGAAAATGTTGAATTGACTAATTTATATTCCAGTTTGTATTCCACTTCGTGGTTACAAACTAGGGTACAACTTGATATTGATTTTTCTAGTATTACCTTAGTCCTGTATGAAAATGTTGAATTGACTAATTTATATTCCAGTTTGTATTCCACTTCTCCCCTCGTAACATATTTTTTTGCTTAGATAAATTATATCCAATTTTTTAGTATTGTCTGAGTAGGAGGTTGGGACTAGAGATGGCTTGGGTGGGGTGGGGCCGACAGAAGAGGCTAGGGAAGAGTGGGGGTGCAAGAGGGGTGGGGGCCAGTTGGAGTATGGAGGGGTTGGGTAAGTGGTACGAAATGATTGTTTAATTTGTTTCACTGTGATGAATTTATTGTTTAATTATGATTGTTCGTTATGTCGAATTTTTTTGAACTTTTCAATGCGCATAGCAATGAGTGATTACGTAGAAAATCATGATTCGATATACAACAAACATGATTATGATGAGATTCATGAATACATCTGGGATTGAAAAATGAAAGAATTTATTATTAAATACTACCTTTGTTCTAGAGTATTTGTCTAATTTTATTTTTACACATCATCCAATACACTTCTTTAATCCATTTTATCTTGTAATTTGTATATTAAAAAATTATAGAAATTATATATTAATAATCTATATGTTAAGACAAATCAAACAAGATCACATACACATGACTATAGCTTACACATTGAGAGAATTTAATAAGTCAAAATGCTTAGATGAACAGTTCCAAAAGTAAAAAATGGACGAATATAGCGGGACGGAGGTAGTACTATCAATCTCATTCAAGGTGAATAGAATAGAGGATGACTTGTGATGTCTATGTAAAGTTTGCAAAAACATGTTCTTTGAGGCGGTGAATGAAACACATTTTCGTCATGATTTCACACTGAACGATCACTAGTAGATATACCATAAGAAACACCATGATTCTTATAGATTTTGTCGTTATATTGTTTCACACCGAACTATCACAAGGTATGACTACGCTCTGAAAGAGGATGATGCTTTTCAAAGGACATGATTATTGACACTACATTACTAGATGTCAACATGATGGAGATAATTCTATTTAAGTAAAATAAGAGGAGATAGCTAGATATTATAATTATTACACACAATATTATATTTTGGTGGTAATAAATGTAATAAGTGTACTATTGAAACCCTACAATTGACGAGTGTCGAATAAAGGTGGCATTCATACACAAGGACAAGAGCATTATGTCCAGAGTGTGGAAGATTAAAGTTGAGAGTGGGAGTAATTAAAGCAATAACTAGAGTACAAATTTACAAAAGAGATGAATTCTATCTTATAGTTCTTTCAAGTCTAGCCCAAAGAATTATTTGAAAATAAAATTTTAATCTCAAAAATGGTACACATTTACAAAAGTAAACCAATGGCATATACAGACAATTTTTTTGAAGTATTTTTAAAATTCAAATCATGGAAAAGGGTATCACATTTGGTGGCAAGGTTAATAAAGAAATATATTTATATTATGATTCCAAATTAAGAAAATCTATTCACTTTGCCATTTAATGCAATAAATGGAGCGTACCCGAGTCTAGATATAGACAATTTCTAAAATGTTAATTGAAGTAACTGAATTAAATTACTCTAATCTGTCTCTCTTAAATATATAAACGTGGTGTAAACTTTCATTTCACATTTTCTCTATCGAAGAAAAACACATTTTCATGATTCTATTCCATTCAAAAAAACAATCAACAATATCAATCTCTTCTTAGTTTTTACTTAAAAGTAAGCTTTTAAGCAATTAAAACATTGTTATTCTCTTCTGATCAAACAAACAAACAAGACTCAACTATGAATCTAAAGAAAGAAGAGAATTCAATTGCAAGTACTCAAGAATCATGTGGACAGGTATGTGACTATGTGAGGACGAATTTAATTTGAGAATTTTTTTAAACTTTAATTGAATTTTTTCAAGAATTTTGTTCATTTTAATTAAAGTACAAACATTTGATTTGTTGTCCTTCAACTTAATTATATTCAATTGCTAAGTCTCGCTTTCATGGTTTTGAAGTTCGAATTGGGACAAGAAGAAGTAGAAGAAATGGAGAAGATTATGGAAGTTCCAAAGTGGGTGGAGTCTTTACTAAAGAAGACATTTTTTGGTGGATGCGAAATTCACAGTCAACTTCAAAACAGTGAATTGAACGGATACTGTATAGATTGTGATTTAGCCTTGTGCAGACACTGCATCTCGTTATCTCCAGATAACGGCATCGCCCATCATGATGATCACAAGTTGCTCAAGATTTACCGACACGTGTACAAGGATGTTGTTCCGCTTGATGAGATCAGGGCTCACCTTGACATCTCCAAAATACAGGTGCATATAATTAACGAAAATTGAATGTTTAATTTTTTTTAAGAAAGAAACATTTCGAATAGTACATTTTTTCTCAAAAAATAAAAAATAAAGAAATTACTTTGAAAAAAAATAAAAAAAGAATTTTTTTTTTGTGTTACACATTGGTATAGACATACAAGTGCAACAAGAAGTGGATAATATCATTCAACCCACTGCCACACAACGGTTCGGGCTCCCAATGTTCAGACCAGAAAGAGACTTGTGACTTTTGCAAAAGAAAACTGCATGATCCTCACCTCTATCGCTTTTGCTGCATTTCTTGCAAGGTATTATTATTTATTATTTATTACCATTCTCAAAAAAAAATGAAATATATACTATAAGTGTAATTTGTTTAAACGAGAGAAAAATCAAACAAGTCGATTGGAAAAATACGTCTAAATAGTAAAAATTTAAAAAAAAACATAGTCTAAAAATTTTGACCCAAAAAAATCAAATGAAAAAATTAAATCGAAAAAGGTAGGGTATCAATCTGAATGCAAAAAAAGGGCACCAATTGAAAATTAAAATACTACTCCCTTCGTCCCACAAAATATTACCCATTTTGAATAATATTTGGTCAAAAAATCACACACTTTTGACTACAAATTGTGAAAAAAGTATATTGAATTATAATATAAATTTGATATAATTGGATTTATCTTAAAATCTAGTTTTGATACATCAAATTTTATAACATTTTTTTAATTTAGATTATACTCCGTATTTAATTTATGGTCAAAGCATGTAACTGTTTTCATGCAGTATAATACATGCCCAGAAAGACCTATAATTCTTTTAATCTGTGCTTCTTTTTCTTCTTTTAAATTCTTGTTTTTTTTTCTTTTTTCAGGTTGAAGCATGCTCATCAAAGAAGACAATAACTGAGAAGAATAATAATGGTCGGGGAAACCAGAGGACAAGAAGTTTTCGCAAGCACAAGAGGAAGAAGACAATTCCCATTAGATCGCCCTTTTGGTAACATTTGATTTGGAGAGGAAATTAAAATTTTACTGCAAAATTCAAATACTCCCTGAATGGTAATTAAGCCTTATTTATAGCATTTTGGCAGAAAACAATATTTGGGGAAAAAATCTTCTTTTCAGAAGAGAGACTTCTCTTGCACAATTTTTTTTTTTGAATTGTGCTGCTTTCACCTCATATTGTATCTCATTTTGTACCTAAAAGGTTTGCGCAGACACGAAAAGTAAGTACAACGCTGGCATGATACCAGTATTATATTTACATTTTGTGTCAGGGAAAATCTTTAGAGTACAAAATAAGGTACGGATAGATTTTTTCCATTTTTTACCTTGTTGGTAAAATGACATTAAAAAACATCACAAATTGTAAAAAAAGTACAAAAAAATCAGCAAATGATATTATTGGAAGGTGCTAATACTTGAGCATAATATTTCAATTGACAAAAATACAGACTATGATAGTAATCATTACATGTTAGCAAGTTAAGTAAATATTTCCAGATCCTGATATTTTTTTTATTCCGTTTTTTTTTTGACGTGAAAAAATATTGGGTGTTGAAATTAAACAATCAATTATAATATCAATCGATGTAAAATGGACACAAAAAAATTATTATACCATGGTAAGGATGCATTGAAGAACATGATGTTCTTAGTCACTTCTTAGAGCATTGGAAATACTCTTGAAGCCCCTGGGCTTCCAATCGGGGCTTCAAAATTTCTCTTTCTGCCACGTCAGCTTTAACTTACTTCACAGATTCAGTAGAAATGGGTTTGAAGCCCCGGGGCTTCAAACAGGGGATTCAAACCTTTATTTTTTACATTTTTAAATATACATCTTCTAAATTTAAATTAATAAATTTTAATTAATTTATTATTTAAATTAATTGCAATGAGACTAGTGCATTAAAAAAATTACATTCATTAAAAAAATATTACATTCATAAAAAAATACATTCATAAAAAGTATTACATTCATTAAAAAAAAATTACATTCATAAAAAATACATTCGTAAAAAAATTACATTCTTTAAAAAAATATTACATAAAAAACAACACTATAAAGAAATTACTAATTATTCGAGCGACTAAAGATATGTTCGATCAAATCCGCCGTTAGTGCATTGTGAATCTCTCGGCTTCGAATTTCTTGGCGGTTTCTTCGTTTCTTTTCTTCGTTGATTTCTTCGTACATAGGCACCTCCTCGTCCGGGTTGTATTGACAAATCGCAGTCCTGTTGTCCTCTATGATCATATTATGAAGAAGAATACATGCATACATGATATTCCTCATTTTCGTTTGAGAATAACATTTCGACGGTCAAACTAGAATGTGCCATTTACCCTTCAAGACTCCAAAGGCTCGTTCAATATCTTTTCTCGCCGCCTCTTGAGCTTTTTTTTAGGTCTGGCGTTTAAGACCCATTGGTTCGGAGAGGGATTTGACAATCGTGGAATAATCTGTATATATTCCATCGGCCAAATAATATCCACGCTTGTAAAGCATCCCTCTAAGCTCAAAAGACGAGTCGGGTGCGGTCTCATTAATCCAATCGTCAAAAATAGGCGATTGATCGAGAATGTTGATGTCGTTGTTCGAGCCCGCGACACTGAAAAAAGTGTGCCAAATCCACAAGTCATTTGAAGCAACAGCTTCGAGCATGATAGTAGGCTTGTGATGATCTCCCCGGGAGAATTGACCGTGCCACGCAGTGGGACAATTTTTCCATTCCCAATGCGTGCAATCAATACTCCCAAGCATGCCGACAAAGCCGTGTTTAGCGGCATGCCTTGCCTGTAACTGCTGAATGTCGCTCGCTGTAGGCTTGCGTAAATATCTTTTATGATAAATTTGAATAATAGCTTTAGAAAATTTATAAACACAGGACCTGATGCTCCAAACCGACATCTTCAAGTATTCGTCGAACATATCATATGCCGTTCCGTACGCCAACTGACAGAGCGCGGTAGTGCACTTCTGGACACTACTAAACCCGCGTCGGCCTCTCGCATCAAAGCGTTGGATGAACCAAGGAACCTCGCGTTCAACATCAGCGAGTATGCGTAAAAAGAGAGGATGACTCATCCGAAAACGATTACTAAAATCCTCCAGTGTATAAACACACGGAGTATTAAAGTAGTCGTTTAGAAGTGAAGCGTGGGCGGCCGCTCGATCCCAGTTTAAACGTTGTCGTCGGGTCCGTCGTCGGTAGGATTCGGCTTCTTCTTCTTCGCCATCTTTCCACCATTCAATACAACTCGTGGCGAAACAACAAAAAATGAGAGCACTTTTATCATCGTCGGGTGAAGATGAAGTGATGAACCCATTTTTAAAATATATTTTATAAATATTTATAATAAATAATATATATTTTAGAGAGAAGATAGTGAGATGTGTGAGAGAAATGTGTGAGAGAAATGTGTGAGAGAAAGATTTTTTTAGGGGAATTTATAGTTTTTTTTTTAAAATTTTGATTTTTTTTAATTGGGGGGGGGGGGTAACGGCTAAAAAGGGGAACCAAACGTGTCAAACGAATGACAGACCGCGTCTCACACCCGGATGAAGCCGATGGGGGGCGGTGTTTAACGCCTCCCGGCGTTAAAATCGGCGATCACGCTGGTGGGCGTGATGATCGTTTCCAGTGCTCTTATGTATAAATGTCATGGTTAGAGATAGTTGATGTTTGAACATTTGGTTATTTGACTTTTCTAAATCAATATTTATAAAGTCTTATTACCCCAATAGGTTGTGGAAAAATGTGATCTGTTATGACTTATGCCCGTAATATAAATTTAGTATCAATATATTAATTCTGAAAGGTAGTTTTGAAATATTCTATTTTTATAAAATATATCTATATATAAATATAATTAAATATTAATAGTGGAAGAAATATAATTAAATATTAATAGTGGAAGTGTTGAATTGAAAATAGTAAAAAATTAAAAAGAAAAAAATAATTTCGGGACAAAAAGAATAAAATTTGTCCCTCAAAATATTTTTTAATGACGACTCTACCCTATGACATGTGCTTTCAGTCAAAGAATTAAGGTAAAAAAATTCAATACCAATCACTCCACTAGCCCCTTCATGTGCACCCCAATCACTCTAATCACTTGCCTAACCTTTTTTCCCCATTTCCCCTTTTTCATTCACCGGGGTTTATTTTCCAACAATTAAAATAAAAGAAATCACAATATAATTAATATTCCATATTTTGTGATTGAGACTGCTGGATACTTACATTATATTTGGTTAAAGGAATTTGAAAGGGGAAAAAAACTAGAGGAAAAATAATTTTTTTATGTTTGGTTAGTGTTGAATAATTGATTATAGTTGTATAACAGCTAGAGAAGAAAAAATTGAAAAGTAGATCGAAAAGAAAATGAGAAGGCAAATTGTATTAAGAAAAGGAAAAACCAAATTTCTTCCACTTTGGTGAGGAAAATGAGAGAAAATTATTTTCTTTTCTTTTTCTTTCAAATTTATTGAATCAAAGATTGTGTTAAACATTATAGCAGCGAAGTAAACGTAACGCCCTTTGCATCAAAAATGGTATGTAACGTCGTTATGGCGCTAAATACCGCTCCCTCTTTCGTTATTCAGACATTATGCACCTAGCGTTAAACGTCTAACGTAGATGATGAAGCAGACATAGCCGTCCCCCCCCCAATGGTCATTTTCTCGGCCGTTGCCAAATTTAAAAAAAAATCAACATTAAATCGTAAATCCTCTCATTTTTTAAAAAAATACACACACACACACAACATATTCTCATTCTATATTCTTTCTTTTTTCTCATATTTCATATTTTTCCCACTTATTTTTAAATTATTATCATGAATCCATTCAGTTCTTCGTTCAGTCTTGAACTGAATGAGTATGCGATGTAGCTATACCAAGCGTACAGGAATAATTCGACTTTTTTCGGAACCCAAACTTTGGTGAATCTAGGGGACCAGAGTAAGTTCTAGAAACTCAACCAGAACCAAGTGCACCAAAAAAAAGTGTACACTGTTAGACTCACAAGCCGCAATCGAGGACAGAAAAGCGAGGAAGCAGGTCAATTCAAAAATGAACACCGAAAGAAGAAATTTTGTTGGCGTTTGCGTGGGTCAACATCTCAAAGCATCAAATCGTTGGTAAATTTTATATGCTCTTTGTTTAATGTATTTTATATAAGTTCCTCTCACGACGATATTAACCGACAGATGGTTGATGAAATGCGATTATTCAATCTTAGGGAAGAAGAGAAGGAGAAACGGAGGATAGAGTTCAAAATAATGGGAACACACCTTGAAACGTTAATGGGATTCAAAAGAATGTATTACCGTAAAACACAAAATAAGATCAAGGCTAAATATAATACTCCGGAGTATGCTTTAGTTTTTTTTATTAATGTATTTTTTTAATATATGAGATTAAAGCTGATGTGATAGAGAAAAAGAAAGTTTGAAGCCCGAATTTGAAGCCTCGGGTAGGGTTGTAAAACGAACGAATAATTTTGATTCGATTTGTGATTCGTATTCGAATTCAATTATTCGTATTCGAAAAAATGAATACGAATACGAATATAAATATTTATTAGAATTCGAAAGAAAACGAACACGAATACGAATATATATGTATTCGATTCGATATGTTAATGAATATATTCGAATTTAAATATAATACAGAGTACTCCGTAGGGGCAAGATTTGCCTACACACATCCTCTCTAGTCCCTACTCTCGTTGGATCTCAGTAGGTTGTTGTTGTAGACATGCCATTTTTAGTACCCTATTAATTTTGGGAAAAAGATTAAAATAAAAGTAAACATTGAAAATAAACCAAAATAGGGGTTATATATTTTTATTCTTGAAATCGAAGTTAAAATGTATTTACAGTGTTATTTATGACCATGTACATTACTAAAAAATATTGTGAATTGTTCATATGCAATGTCACATTACCACAATGTGAACTTCATATTTTAAAGATAAAATATGTAGTTTATATTTTGATACTTTCTCTATATTTTACTCTTATTTCAGGTGATTTTTTACTAGTTTTTGAAGCTATAAAACGTAAAAAAATAAAAAATCATATTTCATAAAAGAATACGAATACGAATATTTGAATTTAATATCAAATCAAATACGAATAATAATAATTATTCGAATAAAAAACAAATATGAATATGAATAAAGCTATCATTTTTCAAATATGAATAAAATTTCACAATATTCAATTCGTTCGTTTTACAACCCTAGCCTCGGGCTTTAAACATATTTCGAGTGCTCTTTACAATACTCTATAATGTCTATATATACCAAAAAAACTACACAGCATGTAAATGAAACCATTTATTGCCAAACAAAGCCTTGAATTGAAAAGAACAAAAGAACATATCTCAAGAAAAAGATAAAAAGGAGTACATCGTTTTTGCCTTCAAAGTAAAAACAACCCTAAAATCTTGAAATCAAATGAACCTTCATTTAGGACTTGAATGTGATGTTTCCCTATACTCAAAATGAGTCTTTATTTTAAAACTATGCTACAACTTTATGTAGTATATAATAATGTGAATACAATTAGAACAAATGGGGACATACCAAATACCAACACTTTGAACCCAATAAATGAGTGATATATAACTACAAAGCAAATTTCTTTATAGCAAAGCTTTCCTATTTGAGCCTCTTGTATATTTTGGACAAGAATGACTTCAACACTGCTTGAACTGCTTCACTTGGATGAGCGTTGATCGAACTAATCAGCCTTTCATAGCTATTGCTCTCGTACTCTGCAAACACGTCCTGAAAACAATCATAAAAAAAGAACAAATATATGTATCATCGTCTTATAGAAGCTGAACACAAACGCAAATGAGAAACATTGTGTGCTCAAAAGTGAACTTGAACCTGAAGCTTGAGATCATTGTAAAGCGCCTTAATCCTAGCTACACAAGCAGGATCCTTATTTCCATAATTCTCCTGTAAAAAAACAAAATATTTACTATATTTATTTACGACACTTCACTTGTTTGGGACAATTTCATTTTAAATAAAAACATTAAACATGATGAAAAAAAGCTTCTTTTGTTCAAATTAGATTCTTTTTTTGGCCATAGATTAGTTTTCTTACAACACATAAGAAAGAGAACTAATCAAAACAATGGAAAAAAAATTAGTATCCAGTTTGAGACATACATGTAAAATCTTCTTTTGCTCCTCATTAGAAAGCTCCAAGGCTTTCACAACCATCCACGAGCACTTAAAATCTTCAATGTCTGTTCCAATCTGAAAGTATGCAATATTTCACCATAAATCTCAATGTTTATTTTGTTTTGTTTTATGAATTAAAGAGAGACATCTAAGCTGAATAATATAGTGGATTCTTTTTCACATACCTTTCCAAGAACCTCTGGCTCAGCAAAACAGTCCAGATAATCATCCTACAATCGACAACAAAGACAAATGTATATTGCCCCACAAGATCAATATTAAACAAAAAAGTACTACACAAGACTGAAATAGAGACTAAAAAAGAGAACTGTTTGGACTTTGGAATGCAGAAATCCCTTCTAGATGGATAAATTCACCAAGTGCCCGAGTAACTAGCAACGATGCTTACCTGTACTTGAAAATAGATACCCATGTCTACAAGTATATTCTTCACATCGACATGCTTATCAAGATCTTCACCAGTTATGACAAGTGCACACGCCACCTGTGGATGCATTATGCATAACCTTTGTTAGCAGAACCCATTAATAAGATTTCTGTGAATACGACTGAGTTTAACAATGATATTGCTAAGTTTGGTAATATAAAACATGAAATAAGGAGAAACACATATCTAGCAGAACCCATTAATAAGATTTCTGTGAATACGACTGAGTTTAACAATGATATTGCTAAGTTTGGTAATATAAAACATGAAATAAGGAGAAACACATATCTAGTTTCCACTAATAAGGTCATCCATCATGAACAACAACAACAAAGCCTTATCCGACTAGAAGGGGTCGGCTACACTGATGGTAAATTTAAAGAACAAGTCTGATTGTGGAGAAGATATAAAATAATAAGGTACGTGTTTAACTGGAAAAGATATATACTCACCGGGAGGTAAAATGAATAGTATGCAGTCTTGTATTCTACAATCCGGCGGTGGCTGCATAGAGCATAAAATATTTACTTCGATTTATTGATGGTATAGGTAACAAGGAAGTAATGAAGAACAAAAGATAGAGTTGCATAGCAATTCTCGCTCACAGTGGCAATGAATATCTTGACAAATCTTTCTCCCCTTCTAGAGTGGTAATCAGATCAATCATCTGCCCACAGGCGGTTTGGAATTCCACCTGTTAAGAAAGATGGGCAAAAGAAAGAAGAATGTCACAACAGTTAGCATTAGGAAAGGGAAAATGAAATGACTCGAAAAAGTTCAATGAATAGGTGGAATGCATCACCTCATTAAATAGATCCAACAAGTCCACATAATAAGGCTTCCCTTTGAAGTGTTTCTTGAGAATTCTTGGGATATGGTTGCGAAGTAGTATTGCATCATTAGCAGCAATCAATCCAATCTGTGAATATTTCAATGGGATTTTATCACTAAATACAATATCACAACCAAAATATAACATAAACTATCTTTAGGGGAATACCACACCTTTGGCAATCTGAACCAACATGGTTGACCTCTCCGTGTATGAGAGCCATCCATTATATCATCAAGAACAAGAAAGTAAGCTTGGAGCTGCAACATTTTCCATCACCACCCACCCAAAGAAAAGGGTCAAAATTTTACATTATTTAGCTGTAATGAAAAGAACAAAAAGAAGTTCCAGTCACTGCCAGAGAAAGGCTAATGGATCACATACCCATTCAATACACCAGCCTAGGGCAGATGTCAGAAAAATTTCCTCAGTGCTTAGTTCTTTCCCCTCTTTCAGCAACTGGTAGCTATCAATAACAGAGAGCCCACGGTTCAGCTTCCCTGTAAACCATGATATCTTGAGAACTATCAAACATTAAAGAAATACATAAACTTATGAATAAATTTATATCAGTTTTCATGCCCACCTCCAGGTACATTGTAGTCCAGCATCTGAAACCAAATAACCAGAACTAAATTAGTTCAAGAACCATGGCAAATTTCCACAGCTCACACCCAATATGTATAAGGTGATCATCTATAACTACATACTCAAGTATAATCTTAGCATGCAGTTAATTTGAAATTCTGATATCACACTTAGGTAGAGTAGGTATGGATCCTTATTTAAAAACAATTGTAGTCATCATGTTTTGTTTCTAATGGAATGATTGGAATGTTAAAGATCATATGAAGTTGGAGGAAGTGCTACCAAGCATCTTTTCTACTATTAAGGATACCTTCTAAAAATTACTCCCTCCATCCAATGTATTTGTCCACTTTTCCTTAAATCATTAGACCATTGTTATCTAACATAGTAAATCAATAAAAATTATGATGAATTATTTTAAATAAACTTACAAAAAACATTTTCCAATTATTCAATGTATGAATTAATGGTCAAAGTTGGTAAGATTTGATCCTAAAATGCAAAGTGGGTAAAAACATTGGATCTGAGGGAGTAATTAATAGCATCCATAATAAAGAAAACACTAAATTTTGAAAATGTGAGAGATCATATACTAAGTCAAGCAGATGAAGGCAGCAAAGCAACTCATTAAATAAGCAATTGACCCAATGAAACAAGAAGAAAAAGCATCCAAGAAATGGACTGTATACTTCAGCACAACAAATATTACCGCATTAAAAATGAACCCCACAATTTAATGATCAATTTAATGTGCTCAAGAAAAAACAAAATTAGACCTTGGCCATAAAATTAGTTCCTCATTGAAGCCAATTTAGCAATAGAATTGAAAAATAAGACATGAAAACATTAAAAAAAAATACGGATCGATGGGCGGAACCTAAAACTTAGACTCAATAGAAATCAGAACACAACAATGAAAGGGAAGCAAGATCTCGATAAAGATCCAAAATCCAGCTAAAAATTTCAGGGATAAAAATGCACACAACTGCAGATCAACGTGAAGAAGTGAATTTATTATAATGAGGTAAGAAAGAAAGGAAGAAAGAAAGAAAATTACCCTCTGGACCCATTGACGAGAATCATCGGTCCACTCGAAAGCAGTGTCATTGAGAAGCTCTGATTTGAGGGTGGAGTAAACCTCCAGAAACTTGGCCTTAAGATCGCTCATCCCTTTTTTCACAGAGAAAACTTGAGAGAGGGAGAGATGGGGGATTTATATTTATTGGGGGTGGGTGTTGGTGGAGAAGAAGAGAGAAAATGGAAATATGATTGGTGAGTGTACGTACATTTAGTGCTTTCTGTATTTATACATGCGTGAATACGCACCCACTATTGCTCCGTAAAGCGACGCCGTTTTTTACCAAAGTCTGTGGCATGTGAAAAAAGTCGCAATAAGGCTGCCGCAGCCTCCCTCGGATTGTTCTTTTGTCCTTGACAGCTCATTTCAATATCATATACTCTCTCCATTCCAATACCCATCCACTTTCTTCACCCCAACTCTTCCTATTTTTATAATAACTAGACTCGTACCCGTACGATGCACGGGCTGTAAAATTATTTATATTTAGTCTTGATTTGGAATAACATAAAATGATACAAAAATCAAAAGATAACAAATTTTATTAAAATTGTCCAAAATAAAGTATTGTACAGCAAGGATCGTAGATGCACGACCAATGATTTATTTAAAAATTAATAATTATGAAAATTTATTAAAATAAATATTTTATATATTTCAGACACCTTATAGATTCTAATTGGGAATTTTTTTGCTATAAAATGATTAAATATAAGAATAACTTGAATGGAATGAAAAAAATAAACAAAGCTTAAGGGGGGTGCATTGAATTTGGAGTCTAGATTTTTTTTAGATTTTAAAAATCTGAATGTGTTCAATCTGGATTTTTAAAAATCTTTACAAATCTTAAGGTATTCAATAGAGATTTTTCAAAGTCTTTAAAAATATTGAAGTATTCAACTCGGATTTTTAAGAGTCTTTAAAAATTTTGAGGTATTCAAAAATCTATGAGTTTTAATACTCTATGGATTTTGTTAGATTTTCACTCAAAAAATGCTTATATTTCACTCTTAAAAATCTCTTCTCATAACCTCAAATTTCTATGGACTTCAAAAGGGGAGAGAGACTCACCCGCCTTTCATCTCGGATTCTCAGTCGTGCTCTCTCTGGTCCTGTCCTCACTGGCGACTGATTTATATGGCTACACAGTCGTGCTCTCATAATATGCCTTTTTTATTTAAATCAGTCGTGTTGACGTGGGTGAAGAACATGGCGGCGGATTTCTATGACTACATAGACACCTACCCATCACACTCTTTCTATGGATTTTTATTCTTAGGTCTGATTTTGTGAACTATTATATATGTATTCAATGCGTAAATTTCCTTGAGGTGTTAGTGGCCGAACAATTATGAAACTACCATTCTTTCCATTCAGATCTTGAAACTCCGTCCCACAGTTTTCCTTTTTGATGATGATATAGAGCTTAGAATTGAAGCACAAAATTTGGATTAAATGGGTGGGTCATGCAGATTGAATTTATACTCTCGACAAAATTTGGATTAAATGGGTGGGTCAGTGGCCGAACGGAGAAGTGCAAAAAATCCACACACATATTTTTTGATTTTTCAAACTCTACATGGATTTTACAAACTTTTCAAACTCTACATGGATTCTACAAAAAATCAACAAAACTCTACATGACTTTACAAAATATTGGCAAAAAAAAGCTCCAAGGCATTTTGTAATATACGGAACAGCAGGTCAATGGCTCTCTACTTTGATGGCACTCTAACGAAATCGTCTACTAACCTTTTTTTAATGGATCTTTCAACCTTGGGTTTCTTCAAGCATCAATGTTGCCTTTCTCCAATCTTCAAATGATCATTTAAAACAATTTGTGATATTAGAAAGGACATTATAGTAAATAATTATCACATTTAATTTAAAAATTTTAATTTTAAATTTAAATTAAGAAACAACTTTAGAGACTAAATTCGAAGCTATTGTCCAACAAAAATAAAAAACTTTCACTACCTCTAAATATCTGTAAGTATAAATAGAACAAAATTGTATTCAATTTTAAATCTGATGAACCAAGATCCTCAATGTGATAGGTGGCATACACCCCTAAAGTTGAGTCTTTAACTAAAACCAGATAAAATAATCTGAATTGCCAGATAATTGCCAAAATGAAAAAGAACCAAAATAATAATCAAAACACCAAAAAAACAAATTTTGAATATCAAACATTTCATACCATAAAAAACACATAATGGAAGAAGGAACAATCAACAACAAACCCGGTAAACCCTCATATCCACTTCTTTATCCCACCAACAAAAAAGAATCTTTAACCCATAGAACAATTTATACTAATTTTAAACAAAACAACAAAAACAACCACCGAGTGAAATTAAAAACAAAACTGAATGAGATTTTTTTAAATAAGAAATCAGATAAATAAAAATGAATAGGGGAAAAACTTTTGAATTCAAGAAAAAAAATGGATAAATAATGGATAAATATAACATTTGAATTCAAGAAAAAAACTTACCGGTCGCTAAACTCAAAAGGCATAGAGACCATCGAATGGATGAAACCCTAGATTCAGAAGAACCTTGCGGCAGACTCTGGTCGAAGAGGACACCAGCCACCACGTCTATGTTGAAATACATAAATAATCCAAGAAAAATCTAACTGTAGAATAATAAAGCTAAGTTTTGAGTCTAGAATTTGTACTTTCAATGGATGATTACTTACCCGTGCAAAGCAAAAATAGGATATTCTCCACTTGCAACCTGCATTCATCAAAGTACAAAGATTACATAAAGCAATTTGGCATTGAGCCAAAGAATAGCAGGCTGGAAGTTAAGACTTGAGGCCCTTTAGGAATCTAGAAGACATTCACAACAGATTTAAAGTGGATTACCAAGAGGAATATTACTTAATTTTTACACATAAACCCACTAATAAATATCCAATTCTTATGAAAAGAAAACAAAAAAAGAAAAAAATATCATGAATAAGTAAGCCCAAGTAAGATAGCATAATAATCGTAAAGTGAGAAGGAAGCTTCTGAGATCTTACCAGCAATATGAAGTCCCAAATTGTGTTGATACTTTTTTTATTCAAGTGAAAACGTGAATAGACACACAAAGCTTTAATGATGGCAGGATTGAAAACCAAGTTTTCATTGTGATAATTTGATCCATATATGCTTAAGTACACCATTATCATAAAAAGCCTAATATATACTCACTACCATGCCCAATTTGTTATTTAGAAAATATTTTATTTTCAAAAGAGAAGTAATTAAAAAATCACCAAAAATACACCATTCTGACCACCACATCTTGTGTTAGTATGTATGTGGTTAACTTTCACAACCCAATCCTCCCAAAATCTTTAATTTCCTTTTATTTCTTAATTTAAGACTAATTGGTTAGAGTTTTATATATGAACTTGTAGAATCTAATTTCAATAATTGCGTAATGTAGAAACTGATTGTTTAGTAAAAAAAACTTACTCATATCATATTTATTTATTTCATTTAAAATTAGTACATGTTTTGTTAATTCATACAAATAAGCACATTCACACACTATATATGAAACTGTGCATTTCACTCAAATAAAACTCCACGAAAAAGGTTCATCACTCTTCTCAAGTTCCACTCAGCAATATTAGGCGAGAATAAGTTTGGGTTTAACTAATATTAGACGAAAAATTTTATACCAACCATCTCCAGGATATAAATCGGCCTGCATCTCTGAAAGACAATATTAACTGGGAAGCTGATCTGAAGTTATTGCAGATGGAATTGCACGATGTTCTAGCTGCCATATCGCTGACATAAAAAAACATTTTAGCTGCCATAGTTGATATTGGTTTCTAGCATTTTTCAAACATCTCGTAAACAAAAAAATCCCAACATAATTATGATGAATGATAAATAGATGGATCTTTGAGTGAAATCAGAGAAAATAATCTCAAAAAGAAACGGAAGTAAAGGAAAAATTCACATCTTTATTTAATGTAAAAAGAATAAAAACTCACGCTTCTCCCACTCCTAGAAGCTTCGTTGAGGAATTTCATCAAACACATAGCATGCAATCTAGATGCCAAAATCAATTTCTTTTTTTTCAACTACAAAATTAGATAGCCCATTAAGTAGAGAATCAAAGATGAGAAGAAAAAGAGAATGAAGTTGAAGACCTGTAACTGGTGGTCTTGCTTCCGCCTTTCTCGTCAAGAATCTATCTTCCTCCACTGAGTGGTTATGATGCCCACTGAGTGGTTATGATGCATTGTAGTTGCAATTTGCAGGCAAAGCTCCTCGGTGCCGCCAGAATCCAGCCAGCCTAGGGTAGAAGGTTAGCCGGCGTTGTCGTCTCCATCTTGTTCCGTTCGAATCCCTGTTGTCCATGGCGGAAGAAGGGTCAAAACCCTAGTCGCTAGAATCGAAGATTAGGTGTAGCTTCCGATAAGAAAAACCTATAGAGCACAATCGAAGCTGGCGTAGATCTCGATAGGGAAGGGATTGCCTTGGAGAAGCTTACGGAATACTCTGGCGAAGAAGCGTGCATGATACGCTGGCTGAAATTTTTTTCTTTTTACTCCGCATATAGTTCACCACTAATAGGGACAGCTGCAGTATTAGACTTCAGCCCATATTTTAAACAGCCCATTAAACAATAACCCGGCCCAAAAAATTGGGCGGGAATACTGTTCATTTATGGCTCCTATCATTGTATATATATAGATTTTATTTAAAATTTATATTACGGAGTACAATAGAAAAGTAAAATTTATATATCTAAAAATTACATCAAAAGAAGTTCTAAAATATGAAAGGAATAAGCATCAATAGAAATGCTAAGGGTACATAAAAAATATACTACCTCCGTCCCACTGTCTTTGTCCACATTTGACTTTTGGAACTATTCATCTAAGCACTTTGACTCATCAAATTCTCTCAATGTGTAAGCCTAAAAATAGTCATGTGTGATCTTGTTTGATTCGTCTTAACATATAGATCATTAATATATAATTTCTATAATTTTTTAATATGCAAATTACAAGATAAAATAGATTAAAGATGTGCATTGGATGGTGTGCCAAAAAGTAAGTGGACAAAGACAGTGGGACGAAGGGAGTACCTTATTTCTACACTAACCGCTTCGCAACATACATTTTTTATGTGGATATGAAGAGCCATAAGTGAATACTCGGTAATAAATCTTTGTTTGGATGAGGAGAAGAGAGAAAATGATAGCAAAGAAAATGAAAGAAAAGAAAATTATGAGTAAATGATGTGAAAAAATTTAATGTTTGAATTGATAGAAAACAATAAAAAAAGGTGAGAAAAGAGAAAAAATGGAAGAAAAAGAAATTAATGGGAGAAGACACTTTTGTACTCCCTCCGTCCCAAATTATTTGCAACGTTTGCTTTTTCAGCAGTTGCGGAAACTTTTGTTTATTTCTACGTTTTCATTGGTTATTTGAAAAAATAAAATATTCTTGACATCATTTATTTCGTAGAAATTTTCATGTACTTTTTTGATATGTAAATTTTATTTTTTATTTCTATACCAATATGTAAATAAAATGAATTGAAAAAATTTGATATTTTGCCTCGAGAATATAAATGCGGCAAATCTTAGTTGAGTTTGTGTAGTAGAAATAAGTAATCAGATCGACATTAGAAACAAGGTCACGCGGGTGACATCGTTCATCCGGTGGTCTCGACGGTTAAAAACGTGCGCACGGTGGTCATTGACCCCTGGCGAGCCAGCGGGGGCCTCAACCCCCTCCATTGCGAGAGCTTTGAAGTTATGAGTGTGAGTTTGGGGGAGAGCCTGGATTCCATTACTCCCGTAAGTATGAACTGGATTATATCTAGCAGGCAGGCAGATGGAGTAAGTATGCGTAAGAACTAAACTAAATTATATGGATTAATAGTGGTACAGTTGGATAATGATATTTGCCGATTCTTCTGATATTGTTTGATTATATATTAATGAGTGCTAGTCTATGAGTTAGTTTTAGCGTTAGATACTTCCACTCTCCCTATTTTTACAGGTAGGGATCAAAAACTGGATGAGCTGCAGCCTGGAGGACAGTGAAGCGTGACGCTGGTGGATGGCCCGAGGCTGTTTGAAATTGAATTAAATACTTGTTGATTTTTATTTTGTTTAAACTACAAGAAGATTTTACGACGTTATTTTAAAGGCTTCCGCAATGTTTGAATTATTTACTCCGATTATTTATGAATTGCTTTTAAATAAATGTGAATTGGATTTTATTATTAAATGTTTTAAAATATTATGCATGTGAATACCAAATTAGTAGCAACCCGATTCGCCAACTCGTTGTTTCGGGTTACGCGGGTTGGGGTGTTACACTTGAATAGTACAACTACATATAATATCCTGGCAGTTCAAGAAAAGCGACGAGGTAAAGAACCGTAAAGAGACCCTCGAAAGAACTTATAAAACGCTCACCTAAAAAAAATTAACTACAATTTAAAAAAGATACAAATTTATTTCTCAGAACTACCACTTCCCTCCATTGCATCCATCTAATTTTGTGTGTCAATGTCATAGCCTGCCTCTTCTCCTCGACGCCTTGCCAAGAGCCAATCTTGGTAGCAAACAAGTGTCTCAAGTGATTTAGCGCTAAGACAACTTTGGTAGTTGGTTAGAATGTTGCCGCTAGAACTGAACTCTTGTTCCACAGCTACGGTTGAAACCGGCATAGATAACACTTGTCTGTTTAGCATTTTGATGACGGGAACATGTGTTCATTCCGCTTCCACCATTCGAGGACGTCAAACTCCATTTTGTTGTCTTCATCGTAGTCGCATGGAACACCTTGGTACATTGCAAGTTCATTGTGTGAACTTATACTTGTACCACCTGTACTTATCAACAAATAGCTACGCTTACATTTTTCATCAAGGGGCCACCGATTATCCCTTTAAAACCCTTTTTTGTCTTCGAGGCAGGAGGAGCTATTGTTTCTTCCGGTAGAGTACCGCATAAAACTTGAAATTCTTTAAATAAAGATTCAAAAAGATCAATAACATTATCTTTTTTTGTCCGTTCTATAAATTGGTCATAAAAATTATTATTTTCATCTAAAAAACAACTATAATAATACTCAATGAAAATTTTAAAATTCGCAATCTTAAAGCGTGAATCATAAATAATACCAATTTTATAAATATAATGAGTATATAAGTAATAATCACACCATCTGTCCTTCATAGGGTAAACATAAGGTTACAAATGTGGATGAGATAAACTTTCACGAAAACATGTAGCAATTGCAATACACTTAGAAAAAAATCTATTTTTCGTAGGTCTATAAACATGCGAGAAAGTAAGAGCGTCATTATTAAAAACTTCTAACACGTTGTTCAATTTTTCAAAAATAATAAATTCATTCCAATCGATAATATGATTAAGTTCATACTTGAGAAATGAAGCAAGTTCTACTTTATACCGCAGGATCTGGCCAATCATTTTATATGTACTATTCCATCTAATAGTAATATCTTTAGCAAATATTATTGGTTTTTTATTTTTAGATTTACAGTAAGACTTTCTTGCATGAGAATTATTACGACTAGCCCTAATTAATTTTAAACCAACTTTAATGTTGGTCAAGATTTCCTCCATAGCTTGTAATCCCTGTTGAATACACAAATTTAAAACATGAGAAGCACACTTTTGGTGTAGAAATCTACTCATGGTGCTGCTAGGGGGGACAAAGTTCTTTAAGTTTGAGAATGACGGCAGTATTATTAGTATCATTATCAAAACCAAATGCAAACATTTTATCAAGTAAATTGTATTCTTTCAGAATACGCTCAAGCAAAAGAACAATATTATCACCCGTGATAGATTCATTGAAATCACGAAATGCAAGAACACGTCTATGCATTATCCAATTATTATCTATCCAATAACAAGTAACACCCATGTAAGGCAAATTAAGATAAGTTTCACTCTAAATATCAGAACAAATAGTAACACGAGATTTAAAAGTAAGAAAAAAATTAGCTAAATTACTTTTTTCAAGTTTTTATTGTATAATAATTTCTCTTTTAGTAATTGTTTTTCTTGAAAAACCTCTTATTTGAGGCTTTACTACGTTTTGAAAATAATTAATAAATCCAAGTTCTTCAAAAAACATGAATGGTAAATTTTCCTCGCAAATTATTTCGGTCATTTTTTTATTTTGTTCATCGTTATAAGTAAAAAAAGATGCCCTTACCTTTGTTTGCAAAACGAGATATTTGGGTTTGTACTTGTCCCTTCTTTGCCATCATTTTGGTGTACTCCACGGGGTGCCTCGCTTTGAGGTGTTTGGTTGGAGAACCATGACCCCGAAAATCCTCATTTTTATGATTGCCCCACAATGTCTACAAATTTCCTTAACATTGATATTTTCTGTTTTTTTAATTGATATTGAAATAAATCAGACTTACATTTTTACCTTTTCCCGAGCCTTTAGAGATCTCGGGCTCACCTATCTCGTCATCCTCCCTTGTAGGATCGTTGCTCTCGGGTGTTGGTTCATCCGCCTCCTCAACGTCCTCGAAAATATCCTCAAGAGTTTGAAGATTGACATCATTCCTACCCCACATGTCGCCCATGAACAGAGCAAATTCTTGATCGTTCATAGCTTCACCTATAAATTTTTTAGAGGTTGTAGGAAAGGACGAGACAGAGTGTCTCGCTTGAGAGGCACGTGAGCTTGAACCTTCGGACGTGGCATGGGCTCCTTTGCCTTTGTTTGAACCTCCACGGTTCACAATGCCCATAAAGACAGACCTTGTACTAGAACCAGATTGTCTTAAAAATTAATAAAATATACTAGAATATTACTCCCTCCGGTCTTAAAAATATTTCTTTTACTTTTTTGGTCATACAATGACACTCTTTGACTATAAATTAAACATAATCTAAATAAATAAATGATATAAAAATTTGATATATCAAAACTATATCCTAAGATGAACCCAATTATATTAAATTTATATCATAACATAATAACATTTCACATAATTTATGGTCAAAGAGTGTTACTTTTTGACCAAAAAAGTTATATTAGGAAAGGTTTTTAGGACTCGAGAGTGTATAGTATTCTAATATTTTAATATTAGTAATATAATATATTTTAGAGTATAAATTTATTAATATATTATAATTTATAAATTTATAATATATGATTATAATATATAAAAATATAAAATATATAAACATGAAAGTTGAGAATTGAAAGAGAATTTAGAGATTTTGAGAGAGAGAGAGAGATGATATAGATTTGTGAAATTATGTTGTGAAATTTTAAAAAAAAAACAAGAGGATATTTATATAGACTAAAAACCTCCTACCCCCAAACCCCTGCCCCCCAACGGCTCTGGCGCCGTTTTCAACGGCAATATAGATGTATCCCACTTCCCCAGGCCAGCTGTCACTGATTTTGACGAAGGAAAAATGATTACAAATTGCGGGTTACGGAGTAAAATTTCTTACTTTTTGAAATCATTTTATTTACAAATTGGTATATCAATAAAATATAAAAATTACATATTAAAAAACTACATCAAAAGTTCTACAAAATAAGGGGTGACAAGAATATTTTATTTTATCAAATACTTAATGAAATCGCGTAAACAAACAAAAGTTATCGAGAGGAGAAAGAAAAAAAATTGTAATCTATTTAGGGACGGATGGAGTAATACTAGAAATGGAACCGGACTGGAACTGACGGTTCCAGTACCACCAAAATAATACCTCGAACCGGACACATGTCTATCAGTTTCGAGTCCAGTTTTCATACCCGTCCATTCGTCTCCAGCTCCAGCACGGTTTCGGGAACCGGCGATTCCGGTGTCGGTAGCGGTTTCCCTCGGAATTGTGTCATATAGTCTTTTCGTCTAGTAAAAATATAGTGTTACGTGCGACGTGCACAGAGAGAGCTGACTTCCTTTGAATTCAGTTTGGTGACTTTCCGAGGTTGTTATAATTCTTATTTTGGTAGGAACAGAACTATTTAATAGGATTATAAATTTACTTATTTGGTTATTCCCTCTTTTTATATAAAGGGGTCTTGTTTTTATACTCTCGTTCCAAATTAAATTGCTTGTTTACTATTCACATGGTCAAAATTTATTCATTTTCTTTCTCTATTTTCATTAGTGATTTGACAAAATAATATAGTCTTGTCACAACTAGTTTTGTAGATTTTTTGATTTAGTTTTTAAATATGTAATTTTTATTTTTTAATCATTATACCATTTTTTTATATAAAATGATTTGAAAATAAATTCAATCAAATATCGTAAATTGAAACAGACGATTTAAATTAGGATGAAGGGATTATTAAATAATGTTTCGCTTAGACTTTTTTTGGTCTTCAAATGTGACACGTTCACCATCAAAATATACGTTTATACATTAATACTCGTCGTTCCAAAATATTTGTCACATTTCATTTTTCAACAATTGCGGGAACATTTATTTATTTATAATTTTTCATTGATTATTTGATAAAATAAAATATTTTAACACCTCCTATTTCGAAAAATTTTTATGTTGTTTTTAAATATGTAAATTTTATTTTTTATTTATGTTCCAATATTTAAATAAAATGAATTGAAAAAACTTGATATTTTGTCTCGTTTTGCAAAATGTGGTAAATATTTAGGAACATAGGGAGTAAATTTTATTTTAAAAATGAGGAAAATTGTTTACAACTCAAATTTGTATTTATGTTTTTAAATAAAAAAGATTTTTTTATATGTGAAGGTCTACAGAATTGATTTACATCCAATGTGCACCAAAGAAGCACTCTATTTTTGTAACGCTCTGAAGACCAGCTTAGTAGTTAGCTGTTATTTTAATAAAAATAAATAAAATATTTATTTTTCTAAAAAATATGAACTATTTGTAAAGTCAGCCGTTTTTGTTGAAAATTAGATTTTTGGATAGATCCGTAAAATGGTAACCAACGATATATAATTCGCTAAATTTGGACATACGTGTAAAGAGTGGTGAGTAAAATAGAAGTTCTAGTTCAATAAATAAATATAAAGATTTTATAATACTCCCTCCGTCCCATAAAGTGATACCCATTTTGACTAAAGTTGAAATTAAGAGAAGGATAATTTTGTGTTAACTTTTCAAAAATATCCTTAATGTGATGAGTAAAAGTAGGATGTGATGTGTATATTATTAGAAAAAAGGTATGATGTGATAGGTAGGGTTTGAAAAGTAAGAGGTAAAAGTGGTTTTTTAATAGAAATGGGTAAGGATTGTGGGACACAATGTTTTTGAAACGTGTAAATCTTTTTGGGACGGAGGGAGTATAAAATAATAAATAAAATACGGAGTAGTATTTATAGTTTTAAAAATACTGTATAAAACCTATTCCTAGCCCTAGCCCACTACGTATTACCTTATTTCCCCTATATATATATATATATGTATACACCCATATCTACCCACTGCCGCTGGACGCCACTGGTTCGCCGCCGATCAATTGAAGTCGTTGCTCCGCCGTACATCGCCAATTGATCCAATCAGTTTGATTCGTTTTAATTCGTCTTCAATTAATCGAGGTGAGTGATTTATCTCTCGTTAAAACTGATTCGTAGATAGGATTCATTAATATATTCTCTTTCAATTGATGATTAATTTGTGAATTATGTCTATATGAATTGTTGATTTGGGTATGTGGTAATTTGGAAGTCAATTATTGGATATTTGGTGAGATTTGGATTTTTGAATTACTGCCCATCCTTCTCCCCTGAGTCTCCTGCTCGCCGTTCTTTCTTTATTCGGCCTCCTTCTCTGCTCTGTTTCCTCTTCTGCTCCGTTCTACGCTGTGTTGTCGCTGGGGCTGCCAACGAGAAGAGAAGCCGTCGCCATGTTGCTATGCTTGGATCGGTGAGGAGGAAGCAGTTGTTGGAAAGAGGTTGTTGCCGCTGTCATGGTAGTTGTCGTCGAGGGAGAGCTGCCTACGGCGGATTTGGGTTTACCGAATCAGGAATTGAATTGGATGTTAACGTTTGCACAGTGACCACTCAATTTCCAAATTCCTTACTTTGACATTAATGGACTTACGGAGTACTCCCTCCGTCCCACTCTTTTTGTCCACTTTCATTTTTACACACCATCCAATGCACTTCTTTAATCCATTTTATCTTGTAATTTATATATTAAAAAATTATAAAAATTATATATTAATAATCTATATGTTAAGACAAATCAAACAAGATCACACATGACTATTTTTAAACTTACACATTGAGAGAATTTGATGAGTCAAAGTGCTTAGATGAACAGTTTCAAAAGTCAAAACTGGACAAAAAGAGTGGAACGGAGGTAGTATTATATAATGAGACTAAAACATTGAAAATATACCAAAATAGGACTTCCATGTTTTTATTCTCGAAATAGGACTTACATTACCATACATGGTCATATACATTACCAAACAAGTAAAGTAATTTGCACATGTACACTGCCACATTACAACAGGGCAAAGTCACATTACCACAGTGCAAAGTCCTATTTCGAAAAAAAAACACGGAAGTCTTATTTTGGCACTTTTCTCTATGTTTTAGTCCTATTTACGGTGATTTCTATTATATAATTTGGTGATAATATATGTTGAGCTCAATTTGTAAATTAATCTACCTAGTAGTACTAGACAATCTAAGTTTAATTAGATATTACGTAGTAGAAATTTCAAATAGGATTGAGATTAGAGATTAAGGTCATGCGGGTGACGTCGTGCACCTGGTGGTCTCAAGGGTTAAAAACGTGCGCACGGTGGTCAGTGACCTCTGGCGAGAGCCAACGGGGGCCTCAACCCCCTCCATTGTGAGAACTTTGGAGTTATGAGTGTGGGTTTGGGTGAGAGAGCCTGGATTCCATTACTCCCGTAAGTATGAATTGGATTATACCTAGCAGACAGATGGAGTAAGTATGCATAAGAACTGAACTGAATTATAAGGGTAAATGGTGGTAAAGTTGGATAATGATATTTGCTGATTCATCTGATATTGTTTGATTATATATTAATGGGTGCTAGTCTGTGAGTTAGTTTTACCGTTAGATACTTTCACTCTTCCTATTTTAAATTATATTTCAAAACAAACCAAATTACACTCCCTCCGTCCCTGAGTATTTGTCCATCTTTTACTTTTTTCATTCAAATTTGGTAAACTTTGACTTCAAATCAAATAAAAATGATATTAGATATTGATACAAAAAAGTTTTATTAGATTTCTTATATCAAATATTTTCAAAATATTATTTTATTTAATTAATATACAATATGTATTTCATTTAATTATAGGTCAAAGGTTGAAAATGGTTAATCGAAAAAAGTTAAAACTGGACAAATACCCAGGAACGAAGGTAGTATTTATTACGGAGTACATCATTATTCAAAAATGATTTCTAATTTTATGGTCAAACATTTACAATTCTAACGAAAAAAATTGTCATAGGAAAGGGTGGTAGACTACTGGTTTTATACTTGGAAATTTGTTTGGTGCCCAAAGAAATAAGAGGGCTTCCATGCCCCACCACTCAATTATTGCTATGTGTATTAATAATGATGAGAATTAATTAAAATTGTCCACCAAATTTTAATTTTCTGAAATTGCAAATACCCCCTGTTAATTTTGAGAAAACATTAAATTTTACTCAAAGATTAAAGAAGGGTACATGATGGTTTATATAGATGGAGATTCTGACATGATTAGGATTCCTCTAATATATGGTTATTGACTAATATGCCGACACTACCATAAATACAAATATTACTATAGTTATCTAATATCCACATCAAGTTGAATGCCGTGAAATGAGAGGAAGCTTAGAAACCAAAGTTGTATAGCATGGTGATTGAAGGGCTTTGGTGAGGAGATCAGCAAGCTGTGACGGAACATATGAAACAATCATCTCTTCTGTAATTACCTGTTCCCATACAATGTGAGAGTCAGTACCCACATGCTTCATGCGGTTATGAAATACCAGAATCTTGGTTAGGTAAATAGGAGGTTGATTATCACAATAGAGGTGCGGCGGACGAAGCTTAATCTTCAAAATGTCAAATAAATATGAGAGTCACATGACATCAGTGGCAGCAGCGGAGAGGGAACAGTATTCGGTCTCGGTAGAAGAACGAGAGACACGACTTTGCTTTTCCGTGCTCCATGAGATTAGATTCGAGCCAAAATAGACCAAATAACCTGTAATGTAGTGCCATCTGTCATATCATTTGTCTAATCAGAATCAGAGTAGGCTTGTAAACTATGTAGTCCTTATCGAAATATCAATTCCCGGTCAAGTGTGCCTTAACATAGCGTAGAATACGCTTCAAGGAATGGAATATCTACTTTGTAAGGGCATGCATACGTTGACAAATATGATTTACAGCAAACTGAATATTCGGCCTAGTGTTTGTCAAATACTGAAGTGAACCAACTAAACTCCAGAAGAAAGTAGGGTTCTTAAACGGACGGTCCGCCCCTTCCTCGATCGACCGAACCAGAATGGGAGTCAGAGATGGCTTACAGTCTTCGACGTCAGCCTTGTGAATCAATTTCGAGCATATTTTTCTTGAGACACGATAAGATAATCCTTGTATGTTTGGCATCAAGGCCCAAAAAGTAGTGGAGTGGTCCTAGGTCTTTCATCTGAAATTTCCGTTGCATGGCCTGGATGAATGTGGTGATAAGAGAGGAATCACTGTCGGTAACAATAATGTCATTGACATATAACAAAACGATAAGAACACAACGAGCAGAGTGCTTCACGAAAAAACTGAAGATCATTTTTCCTAAAATCGTACTCATTGAGAAAACCTGAGAGTTGCATGTGTTGTAAATACGAATAGACAAACATGACAAGGATAAAAACTATGAATAGACAAACCGAAAATAAAACAGGAATCAAACATGTGTTGTAAATAAAAATAGGAAAAAGTTAAAAAAGGTTAAAATGAGTACAATTTTATTTACAACACATGCTTGATTCATGTTTTATTTTGGTTTGTGTATTCATAGTTTTTATCCTTGTCATGTATGGCCTTAAATGAATTAAGATGGTTACTCTAATTAAAAAGAGCACTAAAAAAATTAAAGCAAAAAAATAGAGAGAACACTGGATAGAAATGAAATTATTTCTTGTTGTGTCATTATTATCCAGATGGACGAATATTATGGCTCATTTATGAAAACAAGTGATGGCAGATTTAAAATTTCCGAGGATGAAGATTTGTCTTATAAAAGTAGTCTTGAAATTGACCATTATGAGTTTTATCAGAAGAAAAATAACATAAGGAATGAGTTTAGAAGCATATATGAGATAAAATGCGATGAGATTAGTAAACTTTAGTTTGATATCTTAGATCAAGCTTGCAAGTTTTATTAAACATATGCAAGAAGTAATGAATTTGCAGTGAAGAAGGATGATGTTCTGCGAGACCTGGACAATTATATTAGAATGCGTCAGCTAGTATGTAATAAAGCTCGATTGAGCGATAAAATATTTTACTATGGTGGATAGGAAGAAGCCGCATAAGCCGATCACACGTCCAAACTGTGAAACTAAGTTTCAAGTGCACTGGACTATAAGAGTTCAAAATATATAGTGACATCTTTTGTAGGACATCATAACCATTTTTTAAGTCATTCTAAATATGTTCACTTATTTCTTGCGTATCGAGCCCTGAATGATGCTGACAAGATACAAATTGATATCTTACACGCACAAGGTGTTAAGGCTTGTCACATAATGAGATATATGGTGACTCAAAACGGGAGATATGACAATGTTGGTTTTACGAAAAAATTTTTATATAATTATCTCGATAGACAAAATCATGTTAAGATTCAAGATGAAGATGCACAAGCTGCACTAAGTCACTTTCAAGGTAAAGGTGACAATGACCCCATGCTATTTTGTAAGTATGGTGTTGGAATAGATGGTAACTTAAAACATTTATTTTGGGCAGATGGTGCAAGCATCGTAGACTTTCAATATTTTGGTGATGTTCTTGCATTTGATACTACTTATAAGAACAAATATATTTGTCCATTGGTTATTTTTTTGGGATGTAATTACCATTCGCAGATGGTTATATTTTGTTGTGTTTTATTGTCTGATGAAACTATTGAGACTTACCAATGGGTTGGAATGACTATTTTTGGAAGCGATTTGCAACAAACATCCAATTTCAGTTGTTACAGATAGTGATATGGCTATGAGAGATGTTAAAGAAATTTTCTCAAAATCAACTCATCGGCTGTGTGCATGGCATTTGCACCAAAATGCACTTGAGAATGTTAAGATTCCATTATTTATCGAGGATTTCCAAAGAGTAATGTACGCTAATTATACACTCGAGCAATTCGAAGAATTTTGGCAAAACATGATATTGTTTCTATTCCGTGAGTATTAAAACCCTATGAGAACAAAAGGTTATGGGCTACTGCATATTTGCGAGAGACATTCTTTGGTCATATACGGACGACATCACAATGCGAAGCAATTAAATCTGCAATAAAGTCTTATGTGAGTATGAAAATTACCCTTGTCAAATTTACTCACATTTTCAAGCAACTATTGAGGAAGTACAAGAATAATGAGGTGATGGTTGATTTCAAGTCATATTTCTCTGAACTTATGATAACAACTTCTTTGAAGGATATTGAGTAGGTGGTTGCCCAAATTTACACACTTGGAATATTCAAAGAAGTTAAAAAGAGATTGAAATCAGTTGTTCATTAAATGTTGGTCGAAATGAAATTGGAGACAATTTGATGCTTGAGCCTAACCATTATGGTAATGCATATAGTTTGATTGAGGTTGAGTTTGATAGACTAAGTTTTGAATTCTCATGTGCTTGTCGTCTTTTTGAATCGTGCATCATCCGTTGTGGTCATATTATATGTGTTATGAAGACAGAGCTCCCAGAGCTTAAAACGAAAGGTGGACTAAGAGGAGTAAGAGTGACATAGTTTTTTCATTACAAGAAGATGTGGACTGTGATGTTTTGTTGATAGCTCAATATCCTTCAAAGAAGTTATCATCACAGGTTCAGAGAAACATGACTTCAAATCAACAATCACCTCATTATTCATGTACTCCCTCAATAGTTGCTCGAAATTATTAGTAAATTCAACAAGGGCAGTTTTCTTCCTCACATAAGACTTTATTACAGAATTAATTGCTTTGCATTGTGATGTGGTCCGTATACGACCAATGAATGTCTCACGCAAAT